CCACTGGAAACGAATGTAAACATAAAACCAATTACTGTATTGGCGGACTAGCTGATCATCTGATGCGCACAACAAAGCGTGATTCTCGTAAGGCTTTCGTTAATCGAGGTTTTATTCGTTAATGGAATTGAAAATCCTTATGGGAGCTAATTCGTTAAGCAAAATTTCGTTAATCGAGAGACCACTGTACTGTGATCCCTCAGTTAACGAATTACCTTCCATAAGATTCTTCACTTCGGTTAACAAATTCCTTACAAATTTTTCCCAACATGTTTTCGCCTGCATTTGGCTACCCACCAGCTGCAGTATTAGTCTGCCAATACAGTAATCAGTTTTAGGGCTTAAATTCCTTACCATTTTAGTAAATACCAAGAAGGTTGTACTATTCAATAATTTTAAAAGTTTTATATAAAATTTTTTAGTCATTTTAACAATTATTGAACATAATTGAAGTACAGGAAACTAGTGTTTTGCGCGCCAAACACCCACTCAATACACCAAGCTTGGCGTCAGTTTGTTTATCGGTTCAGAGGAAGGAACATCTTGTTTGAGACATCAACATAAATGCTTTTTTTCTGTGTTTCCAGTCAAATTATTAGTCATTTTGAAATATATTTTACACACAGTGGGGTATGCTATAACGAATCTAATTGGTTCTAGAACCTCGTTCGTTATAGCAGTTCGTTATAGGATTAATCCGTTCGAGGCCCCCAAATACAACCACTTAACACTGAAAAATTTCTGTGGAAATTATAAAAAATACGGTACTTTATCTTACCTTAGTGTTGTTAGCATGCAGGACAGGAGGCAGAGGGGGAGGGGGAGGAGAGAATTATGGAGAAGAGGTGGAAGGAGAGGAGTCATCCTTCCTAGCCCTCTTTGGTGACTGTCTCACAGGCACTTTGTCTGTTTATTTATAATTTCTTTCTTAGTTTCAAGGGTTATTAGCTTTCTCACAAGCTTTTGACGATTCATTGTTACAATTGTACACTTGTATAACAAATTAGTTATGAAAATAACATGAATTTCCACATCAAAAGACGAAATTTCAACAAGTTCAGTGGTGCACTGACTACACAATGAGCCAGTATGGCGCCTGACGCTCTTGTTGTGAGTCGCGGTACAACAATATTCATGCGCCAGACGAAATAGTCCGGTATTCATCCGCGTTTGTTGTAGGAGTTTCGTTCGTTATAGCATGCTCAAGTTTATAGGTAAAACCGTTCGTTATTGGAATACTCGTAGTAGAATCCGTTCATTATAGCATACCCCACTGCAATAATATATAGCGCAGTGCAGTGTTGATTTAAAGAAAATAATCTTGCATTACACCGGGGCGCTCTTGCTTAACACAATTGCTCAAGGTATTGGATATTTGGACCCATATTCTAGAACGGGGTGGAAATATCGACAATATTTACCTAGATTTTGCCAAGGCAGTGTACCCCACGAAAGGCTGAAAATCAAACTGGAAGGGTACGGAATTCGGGGAAATGTCCTAGTGTGGATAGAAGACTTTCAACATGACCGCAAGCAGTATGTGGTGATTAATGGCACGAAATCGTCATCTGTACCTGTAACAAGTGGGGTACCGCAGGGTGGTGTATTGGGCCTGCTGTTGTTTGTTTGTTTCATAATTGACATGCCTGACGTTGTACACTCCTCCATACAAATGTTTGCCGATGATGGCAAGTTATTTCGGGAAATTAAGAACCAAGCTGACTGTGAAGAGCTGCAGAAGGACCTCTGTGGGCTCCAGGAATGGTCGAAGAAATGGCTGCTGAGATTCAATGTCACGAAGTGTAAGAGGATGCACCTGGGGCGTACCAACGGTAAGGAGGCGTATCATATGTCCCAACGGGATGAAGAAAATGCACTAGTTGAGACTGTGTGTGAGAAGGACCTAGGTGTGTATGTTGACAATGAGCTGAAGTTCTCGGGCCATTGTGAGAAGAAGGTAAATCAGGCAAATAAATTATTGGGTCTTATAAGAAGGTCGTTCAGATATCTAGACGGTCCGTCCCTCGTGACGATCTTCAGGAGTGAAGTGCTTCCCCATCTGGAGTACTGTCACCCCATCTGGTCCCCGAGATATGCTAGGGACTGTCAGTTGGTTGAAAATGTTCAAAGGAGGGCCACCAAACTGGTGCCTGCACTTCGGCACCTCAGCTACCCTGAGAGATTGGAGCGCCTGAACTTGCCTAGCTTATACTACAGACGGGCAAGGGGGCACCTAGTTGAGGTGTATAAGCATCTCAGGGGGCACTACTCAGTTGAGTGTCCTTACTTGGAGCTGGCAGACGCTCGCCCCACAAGGGGTCACAGCTCAAGATTGAAGAAGCCGCAAGTCCAGAAAACCATGAGGGCAAACTTTTTCGGAGTGAGGGTTGTAAACTCTTGGAACAATCTACCAGAGAGTGTTGTGACGGCACCGAGTGTGAGCTCTTTCAAGAGAAGACTTGACCAACACTGGAGCGGGTTCAGGTACATTCAGGAGCCGGTGCATGCCCAGTATTTGCCAACAGTGCGTGACAGAGATGTGACCGATCGCCCGGGCGGCTAGCGAGCCGATCTTTTGGTGAAGAATATAAATGAAAAGAGACGTGACCGATCGCCCAAGCGGCTAACAAGCCGATCAGTGGCGAAGAGGATAAAAGTAAAAAGTGAACTAAAATTTTATGGGTGAAATGGCAGCATGAGGTGACACCTCAATGCCTTCTCTTCTCCCTTCTCCTCCACCCCCATTCTAATTCCCATCATCATCATCATCAACCAGGAGCCTTCTACATGCACACCTCAAAGTAAGTGTACTTTAATGCATTTATTTTTAGTTTGTATGTAATTTTCGGTGAGCTGGAACCAATTACCCAAAAACCCATTGATACAATGGTTTCGGTTAACGAGCAACCTTCTGGAACGAATTGTGCTCGTTAACCGAGGGACCACTGTAAACGTGTAACTTTGTAGATAATTTCAGCTCCCTACAGCTGAAGGCACGGGTATGGAGTCTGTCAAAGGCTTGAGGTGCACATCTGATCCGATGTTGAATCTCTTCATCGATGTCTGCAATGGTGGACAGGTGGGAGCCTAGATACCGAAAGTGGGCAACATTAGAGAGGGTAGTACCGTTAAGCTGGATGGATGGTGGAGATGTGTCTGAACCAGGGGCAGGTTGAAAGAGAATCTGAGTCTTAAGTACATTCACCTCAAGGCTGAAGTGTACATATGCATCTGCATTGGTGTTCAGGATCTCCTGTAGGTTGTGTTCGGTGTGAGCAACAAGGGTGAGGTCATCAGCATACTGCAGTTCAGTGGTGGAAGCTGCCAACACCTTTGTTCCTGCACACACACACACACCCCCTCATCCACACTCACACACCCTCATCCACACTCACACACCCTCATCCACACTCACACACCCTCATCCACACTCACACACCATCATCCACACTCACACACCATCATCCACACTCACACACCCTCATCCACAAAAACTCATCCACACTTCCACACACTCATCCACATCCTCACACACACACACACACACACACACACACACACACACCACAACCGCATCCAGCCCATACGTGCACGAACTGATCGCTATAAGAACAGCCCAGTCCCAACCATTGTAAAAATTATCAATAACTTGTAATAAACCAGTGTATTCACTCCCAGTAAATACTACTTCTTGCACTGTCACTATGTTGAAATGCACTGTAGTTTGAGCTTTTCCCCATCTAGTTATTATATATCTTATTTGTATCACTTATGTTACTTGTATATTATTTGTAATTCGAAACCCATTCCCCGAATATGTAACTGTATATATTCAGCCTTCTGGCTGCCAAGCTCTTTCAATAAACCGTTAATTATTATTATTATTATTATTATACACACACATATCATACTCCACACCCTCATTCGCACATAAGAACACAAGAAAATAAGGAGTCAGCAATAGGCCGGTTGGCCTGTGCATGGCAGCTCCTATCGAGAGTTACTACCACTCTCTATCATCCATGAATCTATCTAGCCTCCTTTTAAAACTTTCCAGAGTTCCAGCACTTACTACAAAGTTGCTAAGCTTGTTCCACTCGTCCACCACCCGATTTGTGAACCAGTTTCTTCCTATCTCCCTCCTAAACCTAAACTTATCCAACTTAAATCCGTTCCTACGAGTCCTATCTTGCTCGGATATTATAAGAACTTTATCTATATCGCCTTTATTTAATCCTTTCACCCACTTAAATACTTCTATCATCTCTCCCCGCACTCTTCGTCTTTCTAGGGAATGCAAGTTTAGTTTCTTTAACCTATCTTGATATGGAAGGTTTCTAAGTCCTGGAATCATTTTCGTCATTCTTCGCTGCACCGACTCCAGTGAATTGATGATATACATTCTATAATAGGGACACCAGAACTGAACCGCATAATAGAGGTGCGGCCTGACTAACGCAAGATATAGTTGCAATAAGACCTCTGCACTCTTATTACTTACACTTCTAGATATAAAACCCAATACTCTGTTTGCCTTATTTCGAACATTAACGCACTGTTTTCTAGGCCGTAGGTCCGGGCTTACAAGTACCCCTAAGTCTCTTTCACAAGTCGACCTTTCTAGGTTGATGTTGTTAAGGCTGTATTCGTTAACAGTATTTGTTCTTCCAATATTAAGTACGCTGCACTTGCTGGTGTTGAATTTCATTTGCCATTTCTCTGACCACTCCTGCAGTTTATTAAAATCCTCCTGTAGTGCATTTGCATCCTGCCCTGAATTAATTTGCCGCCCTATTTTGGTGTCATCCACAAACTTGCTTATGTCACTGCTGATCCCAGTATCTAGATCGTTTATATAGATTATGAACAAGAGTGGGCCCAGTAATAATAATAATAATAATAATAATAATAATAATAATAATAATAATAATAATAATAAATGAAAATTAAGTTTTAACATTGGGCTATTTTTTGGGCTACTTTTCGTTATAGATTGGGAGGGTTGGTCAGTCTTTGACCTGGCAACACTGCCCGAGACACAGTGTAAAGAGGCAGCTGTGGTTACGCTCTACCACCAACAACTTATTATATTAACACTTTAAGATAAATAAAACTAACAATACCAAATAAAAATAAGTAAAAATATACTATAAATATAATAAGACTAAAGAAGAATACGAGGCACAAGAACCATCTTACAAGTCACAACAAGAAGACTGGACGATCTGGACCACAAGTTGACTTACAACTTTTACAACAACTTACAAGAAGAAGACTGGACCAGTGGTACAAGTTGGTAAAATGTTACTCTTATTACTAAAATCACCGAGCGACTCAAAAATATATTTTTAATATGTATTTGGGGTAAATTTTTACTTGTGGACATGAATCCTTAGGGGTTGACCAATATGTTTTTCTAGTGTATTTTTGTGTCTTTAAATGAATATGACCTTTATTTTTGGCGGAAATTGATACCCATCCCCCCCTGCCCCAAAGATAATGGGGGAAGCCTTGTGAAATCAGGGTTTTGGGTGGGGGGAGAACACGAAAACGAGTCATCTAACCAAACCTCTGGGCCGTGCCATGTCCAAGACTACAATACCTTAGTTAGAAGTCCGAGATCATATATTTACAAAATGTCGTTTTTATCTTCTATACAACCTTTCTAAATTTACAATGAGGGCACTCAATAGACTTAGGGAGATCACCGTGATTACGTAGAAATTCTATAGCAAATATTCTAAATGTGAAAAAGACTTTACATTTGTGGGTATGAAAAACAAACCTAACCTCCATTTTTGTGCAAATTAACAGTTTCTATTAAAATGAAAACGTACATTTTTAGCACAAAAAAATTAATTTGCACAAAAAATTAAGGTCAGATTTGAGTAAAACCCACCAATAATAACTTATTCTCATACCAAAGGAACCAACCAACCTAACATAACCTAACCTAACCTATTCTCATACCAAAGGAACCAAGCAACCTAACCTAACCTAACCAATTCTCATACCAAAGGAACCAACCAACCTGACCTAACCTAACCTATTCTCATACCAAAGGAACCAACCAACCAACCTGATCTAACTAAAAAAAAGTTATTTGCACCAAAGATTAATGTCAGAATCATTTTAAAACAGCAAGAAAACTATCAACAAATTTATTTTTCATGTGAAAAATGTTGATGGATGGATAACGAAAAGAGCGTTTATTTCTGTACACTTTTCATCAGTGAGTGCTGATATGATAATAATTTCTTGTTCAAATGCTTCATTTGGTAAATATTTCGGCGCCTAAGGTGCGCACTGTCGTGTCTTCTCGGCAGTTGGGTTTAGCACAAACTAACAGTGTCCTCTATAAAATGTTGTTTGTTATGTTAAGGTTATGTTAGGTAAGGCTAGGTTGGGTTGGACTAGGTTAGGTTAGCTTGGGTTGGGTAAAAAAAAAAGTACAAGCTACGACAGTGTTCTCTATAGAACACAGTGAAATTGCATCATTTGGTAGATACTGTGTATATATCAGGGTTGGAAAAAATCTTGATTTTTTAAAAAAAAATCGATTTTGATTTAAATTGATTTTTTTCATTTTTTTACTAATTGCATTGAAATAGTATTTATAAACCATAAAAACAGTATTTTTCAACCAAAGTTTATTCAGGATAATAAACAGAAAATTGGCATTAAGATATTTATGCAGTAGATGTACCAATGGAATTTAACACATATCGTACATTTGAGAGCACAAATCCAAACGTAATAATGAAATTTGACATAAATGCTCTTATAGGATTACAGTCTTAAAAAAATTAATAACTTAACTTCTTCAAGTCAACAGAATAATATTCTCATTTTGTAAAAAAAATAATACTGGTAACAAGTTTATTTTCTTACATTTGTAGGATTATAGTGTATTAAGAATTACCTGTAATAACTTCAAGTCAACACAATATTCACATTCTGTAAACAACAAAAATAGTTCAAAACATATAAAGTAGCTTAGTTGAACATTGAAATGCTTATGTACTGTGACAAGCTTCGATGCCTTTTCCTGTCCTAGGCGATTTCTTACCTTTGAGTGTACAAATCCATATGTGGAAAAAATTCTCTCAACCTCTGCTGATAATGCAACAGCTGTATATAATTGCCTAGGGACATCCATTACATTTTCTGTCATATCATTGGCAAAATACTGCCACCAAGCAAGGGGTGAGAGAGATTTTACAACATCTTTACCAAAATAGACCTCTTTAAATGGTGCACTTCTTCCATGGAAGGACATTAATGTTGAAAGGAAATGTGGAAGAGACTCGCACACATACTGTTCTGCAATGTCTCGCTGCTCAGGAGTCAGATGTCTGCCCTGATGCCTTGGATCTATCACATTAGCTAGAAAATGGGCAGGTGTCAATACTACTTTGATTCTTTTTTCAAAATTATCCATGTCCTTCTTATCTGTTAAATACTCCTTAATTTCAGTTTTACCCAGATTTCTACAGCAGCACTTAATAGGGTATGTTCTCTCTGGACACAGTCCAATGCCACAGCAATAGGCTTAAGTCTCTCTAAATAGTCTTCTGCAGTTCTTTTTAATGCCTTATCATTAACTTTCCTTTCAATTTTCTTATCAATGTCTTCACTATATTCTTTGCACACTTTGACAAGGGTCTCCCAGTTCTTTAAATAAGATTCAATAGAATCTGTCATTGTGTTCCATCGTGTGTCTGATGGCATTACTAGCATTGTTCCTCCTGCTCGTCTATACAAAGATCCTGGGATGTGATGATTTCTGAAGTACTTAATGATTTCAGTAATGTGCTGCTTAATGTTTTTGATTTGCAGGTCTTGTGAAAGCAAATTTAACAGGTGTGCAGTGCAACCATATGTTATAATGGATTTATCTTGTCCGAATTCACTTCTCATTTTTGCCATATTAGCAGCATTATCTGTTACACAGCTTCTTACTGTGCATCCAAATTTGTCTTCACACATTTTTGTAGCACATTCAGCTAATTTCAACAGATATTCAGCTGTGTGTCTTTATTCTGTGTCTATAAAGTCAACAAGATAAATACGGTTGTCCGCTGTTAAAGTTATTCATACTATAGTAGGGTGTGTCATACGGAGGCGAATTTTTTTTTTTTGTGTTTGAAAAATCGGCCCATGGTATTAATGATGTAGTTCTATGTGCAGAATCATGTGATATCTTCAGATTTGAAAAGTTTTCATTTTTTGCTAGGTAAATTTTAACTTGAAATCTTATGAAAATTCAGTATTCCCACCCTTTTACCAACACCACTAAATAGCTTATTTAAAGTAAAGTAAATGTATCAGGTTAATTTATTAGGATGAAAATGATCCAGAATAGTGAAACGAATGATCTTGACACATTTATTAAATTTAATATTCCTTTAGAAAACAAAATCATCAAATACAAAAACCGGTTTTACTACTACAACCCGGTGTTGCTGCACACCATAGAGAACATGTCTTTCTTGCTTCTGTTTCTACTCATCACCTCCCTGCTGACCACCTGAGCTCGGATGTAGCCTTCCCTCCTCTCCTGGCTGTACGCGTGACTGCTGGCCTCGCTCACTTGCTGTACACAACGCTCTATACTCTGGGTGTGCGAGGGCCAGGCAGGGACATGCATGGGGTTGTCCAGGAAAGCTCTGACTTGAACATTGGTGAGGCTGCAGGTAAGAGGGAGCTCACTGCCAGCCTGGATGTTATCCAGATCTATGAGATCAGTGAGGGTCTTGGCACCTAGATTGACTTCAGGAGTCTTCCTGACCCTGAAGGAATGAAATCACCAACTGATTACGTCATGCCCAGATCACTCTCATAAGTCTCATATCCAAGATCTTTTTTGACTGCCACTGTTCTCTCCTCCTCATCATACTGCAGAGCATTGTCTGCAGAACTTTGCCTCGGGATGGAAGCATACCAGGAAGATCTCCTCACAGTCTGCTCTAATCTGAACAACCTTCCTTGGCTGACTCCTCCAGGAGCTCAAGCTGGAAGAGAACATGCCTCGGACCTTGGGAGAATGATGAGCTTGACAGCAATTGTTGAACCAGATTTGGCAAGTAGACACTTTCCTTGACCAATTGGACAATAAGCCTCAGGTTGTGAAGCTGGTTCCTTTCAGTTTATGATGAGCGACCCAAATTCTGCAGAACCTGAGAGCCGTTGTGAGCCACCTAGAATGTGAGACTGGACCTATCTGCAGGTAAGCAAGACTATCAGGCATGACCCCAGTTTTGATGGCACTGCAAATCATGTAACCATAGTACTGGTCAGTACTCAGGTCGTCAATGACAGTATGTGCAAGCTCAACGAGTGGAGGGCCAACTGTGATTTTTTCAAAGCTCGGATTTATTTCTAACTCAGTGGCAAAGTCCAGCATCTTGCCAAGAGGACCAGACCATCTGTTGTTTGAAAGAGTCTTGCCATCCAGCTCCTGGATCAGATGTCTGAGTGGCAACTCGTTGGTGTGGAGGTCACAAACAATCCAGACCAGCTTCCTCCCAATCTTCCGCTCTATCCACTGTATGACCCCTCCTTGCCACCCTGTGTTGTGTTGGTGCTGTCCCCTCCAATTGGCCTGCAGGGTCTGGTCTCGTTCTCTCTCTGAGCCAGTTCACAATGTTATCTGCCACTATCTCAGCTGGTTTCCTGATGTCATCTTTCTCTGGAGTGAAATGCCCAACTTCCTGGTTCACTGCAGCAGGAGTAGTGTTCCTCCTTCACCATGGCAGGAACAACTTGTCAGAATCTCCAACTTTCATGAACACTTTAGTGTCATCCTTCTCCCATCAAAGAACAAACAATTGATTCCATTTTCTCTTATCCCCTTATCAAACTCCTCTTCTAGGTTACTGACAAGTTTCTCCTGAGCTCTCCTTACTTTGTTATGATCTATCACCAGGTGAACATCATCAGGTGTTACCAAACCACCGTCAATCCAGGCAGCTGTTGCTATCTCTGCAGTTTCTCTGAGACCAGTGTGGTGTCGCATACTGGCCAGAGCTATGCTCGGGATATCTTTCCTATTTCGAATCTTATGCCTGGAAGGTTTGGGATCATTATTTTCTGGGTAAGGGACGAAGTCACCATTCTCCTGGTCAGCACTCGGATCAGCCATGGGGAAGTCATTAAACTCTGAATCAGCTTGACTCCAATCATTGGCCTTTTTTACCTCACCCTGGGCCTTCTCAAGTCTCTTTTCCTCGGCAACTCTTCTCCTCTTCTGTCTCTCTGTGGCAGCCTCCTGTCTCTTGGACTCCGGAATATCTT